CAGAAGGAAACAACACAGGTGGATTTGACTGTTCTGGTTGTATCAGCAGAAGGGGAAACACATTACTTCTGATGCACAACATGGGAGCCAGGATGGAAAGGTCATCTCCCAAGTGGGCAAGGGGTATTCTGAGGAGGTCATCATCCATTCCTGCCCTTCTGAAACAGGCAGTGTCCTGATTTGCCCTGTCCTGTCCTGGGCCAGTCCAGAAGTGCACATCAACACCGCACTGAGTGGGCATCATGGCAGGACAAGTGGTGTTAGTGAACCTGACACCACAAACCTGGTTCTACCACAGTCATTCGCTCAAATCAAACTCTGACCCAGAATGGAATTCTTTTGAAAGTTACTGCTTTATTGGTTGAGCCATGGCTCAGTTAATTTTCACATTAATTGTGTGGAACTTTGACACATCCAGAAGAACGAGGATTCTGTTGAAAGCTGACTAAAACAGAATGAGCCATGTTGGCTCCTTAGTTCTTAGTAAGGTGGAGCGATGGCCTTGACCTGCAGTTGTACATCACTGGGAAGACTTTGGGAGGGCTGGCGTGCATTTGAAGTCTACTTCAACATCCTCTAAAACATTCCAGAACCTCTTCTCAAATAAAGTGCACAGACTCTCCGTAGCACATCCTTTATAAGACAATGCTCTGAAGAAAAGGCCTGAAAAAAATTAACCGACATTGTAGTCAGTAACATCAACTAATTCCCCACAAGACTGTCAAACTATTTACTAAGATTGTATTTCTATTATTCTTCTCTCTCTTCCTAGAATCTACCTCTTCCCACTTACGACTATAACCTTGTTGCTTGTATCTTTATGTATATTGTTTATTTGTTCCCTAGTATGATTTGATTGTTTATTAGTATCCTATGGCTATCACTAAGTGTTGTATCTTATGATTCTTGATGAATGTATTTTATTTTTCTTTATGTACACTGAGAGCATATGCACCAAAGACAAATTCCTTGTGTGTCCAATCACACTTGGCCAATAAAGAATTCTATTCTATTCTATTCTATTCTATTCTATTCTATTCTATTCTATTCTATTCTATTCTATTCTATTCTATTCTAT